GATAGACATAGATATAGATATATACCCTTTTTCTCCAACAATAGTCTCCCCCAATAGGAAGTCCCAGCATGTTTTATAGGCGTGAAATGAAATTAAGCCCCTCCCCCCAAATTAAAGCCTATATTAAAACATGCAAAACGGGGGGGGGGAATGGTGGGGGGGGCTTGCCGTTAGGAAGTACTTTTGTTGCACACCCGGATATGGTGCTGCCTGCGTTGACCCCAATACGAAGTGCCCCACCAACGCCGAGGTCAACATCCAAGCCGTTGCCGCCCGCCTGAAAATGCAGGGGTGGGGGAGAATTAAGTCACCCCCGAAAAGACAGCCTAGCCATTTTTTCGGGGCTCAAAAAAAAAACAAAAAACCCGGCCTTATTATATGAGAAACACGGTAGATAGGGGAGAGAGAGAGAGAGAGAGAGACATAGAGACAGAGGAGGGAGAGAGAGATAGAGAGATAGAGATAGATATACAGATAGATATTTAGATATAGATAGATGCATAGATATAGATATACATAGAGATATATATAGATAGGTTGAGATAAAGATAGATAGATAAAGATAGACGTAGAAAGATATATAGATAGATTATATATATATATATATATAGAGAGAGAGAGATGGATAGATATACAGATACATAGATATAGATAGACAGATATATAGGTAGAGATATATAGATATAGATAGAGAGAGGGGGGGAGAGATAGATACATAGAGGAGGGGAAGAGAGAGAGAGGAGGGAGAGAGATATAGATATAGATATATAGAGGAGGGAGATAGATAGCTTTAGATAGATAGACAGACAGACAGATAGAGGAGGGAGAGAGAGAGAGAGACATAGAGAGAGAGAGGAGGGAGAGAGAGATATAGATATAGATAGAGGAGGGAGAGATAGATAGCTTTAGATAGATAGATAGATAGATAGATAGATAGATAGATAGATAGATATAGTTAAATGATAGATAGATGATAGATAGATATAGATAGACAGATAGATAGATAGATAGATATAGCTTTAGATAGATAGATATAGATAGATAGATGATAGATAAATAGATGATAGACAGATAGATAGTTAAATGATAGATAGATAAGAGATAGATAGTTAAATGATAGATAGATGATAGATAGATAGATAGATATAAAGATAGATGATAGATAGATAAAAGTAGATAGATGATAGATAGATAGATAGATAGATAGATAGAGATATATCGATTGAAGAGTACTAGCTCCAAGGCGGAATCTTGTGGCACGCCACTGTTCACTTCCCTCGGTTGTAGACGTAGTGCCGTTAAGGACGACTCATCGAGTACAGTTTGTCAGGCAGTCACACCTCCCATCTGGTGGCAATGCTGTCCACCCCCAATTTTGATCGTTTTCCGAGAAGTCGATTGCGGACTCGACTCTGTCGAATGGCCTTCCTGAAGTCTCCGTTGTCCTTCCAGGCCCGCCCGCCGGCGAGATGACCCTCGTCTTCGGCTGCCGTAACTCGCGGCACGACCACATCTACTGCGAGGAGATCCGAGAGGCTCAGGAGGCGGGGGCTTTACACCGTGTCCTCACCGGTTTCTCGCGCGACCCCGATTACCCCAAGGTAGGCCCGTCCGTTGTATGAACCCGCCCTCCTCCCCATCTTCTCCCGGGACAGCTTCTAAGCCGTCCCGAATCGCCATGGACAAGACCCCCCCCCAAAAAGAACTTGTCGCTGGCCCTCCTAAGAGGTGACCCTCAAGGGTCTACGTCGCGGCGGGACGGTGGGCAATCCCGGAGCAA